TCCATTGTGGTGCTGTATAGAGCCAAAGATGTTAGAATTGTGTCGATGTCCCAATATTTCTGGACCTGACTGTATATCAGGGAGTTCTTACTAAACTCACCATAGTATAAATTTCAAGATCCATAGCAGGAGTCATGAGAATTACTGCCAAGAACAATGCCTGTTTAAACTGCACATAAGACACAACACACCTATATCATTATTTTTGCAGATACATCAAATTAAAAAATGGCATGAATGTGCTGTTGATTTCTGACTGGACAATTGATGATTGCAATTCTTCTGATGAATCAGACACTGAACTAGATGACCTCATAATATCCTCTGGAACAGATGAGGAAGAAGTTCTTGCTGCAAGAATGCAAGAAATGGAGAAAAATGATAGGAATATCAAAGAAACTGAAGATGGATCTGTGGATGGTGAAGCTAGAAGTGATGAAACAGATTATGCTGGAAGTGATAGCATTGTTGAAGGCGATCTTGAGGAGAGGGAAGCCCATGATGACCCTGAAATATATGAAGAATTAGTGAAGCAAGAAGATGAAAATAAGATGGGCAGTACAGAAAAGCAGGTATGTTGTAAAAAAACTCAGCTACTTGTTAATCAGCAAACCTTGTCAATAAATAAAATATACAGGTAGTCCTCACTTAACAGCTTAACAGTGACCATTCAAAGTTATGAGGGCACTGAAAAAGTAACTTTATAACCAGTCCTCACATGTACGACGGTCACAGCATCCCTGCAGTCACATGATCGACGTTCAGGCACTTCACAACTAGCAGGCATTTACAACTGTTGCAGCATCCTGCAGTCACATGATCACCATTTAAGTGCTTCACAGCCAGCTTCTGACAAGCAGAGTCAACAGAGAAGCAGCAGCATAATTGCAAGTCATGGTCACATGATGTCTCGCTTAACGACCACTGGGAAAAGTGATGTTGTATATCCAGAGACATGACGTCTCACTTAACTGTGTCATTTAGTGATGGAGTTGCCGGTCCCAATTGTGGTCATTAAGCGTGGACTACTTGTATACTTATTTCACATCAGATGAGCACTGTTGTTGGGACTGTGATTGAATTAATTCTTGTGTAGCACACTGAGGGCCATGAACAAAAAACTGGATGTACTGTTTCTTAACCAGTACCAGCGCCCTGTTTTTTTTTTTCAAAGTTAACACACTCTGAAGACCATGGGTTGAGAGGTATGGCAAGTGATATGATGTTGACTCTAAAAGAGGCTATTTGGGGCCTGCTCCAATAGGTTGGGTGGGAATCAGTTTAAAAGAAATGTATGTGTTAAGACCTGGATAAGCTTAGCACACCTATTTTCTATAACAGAAACGTTTGAAAAAGATCACAGGATCCCAGTGCGGGAATTCTGATGCTTTGAGGACTTCAGAAATGGCCTTGGAGAGTTACACATGCAGCCCATGAGCCTGTGGGTGCCAATGCTGCGGTCGAAATGAATAAAACAATAGTGAGCATTCTTAGGGCACAGCTTTTGTCTGTAATATTAAAAAAAAAAAAAAAACAGCAAAGAGATTATTTGAACACAGAGAAAGAAGAAAATGAGATCTCCTTCCACATTATTTGAAGCAGCCCGAATTCAGGCTTTGATGGCTTCATTTTGCTGTGTATGTTACTCAGGGTTCCCTGCAAGGGAAATTAAGAGTGAAACATTTAATTGTATTGGTTTGCTTTCTTAGGGACAGGCTTGCAGTTGGGAATGGAACAGAATTTTGACAGGAGTAGGATTCTTTTCATACTGGAAAAAGGCTGTATTCTTTGGCTTTGGCTCGTAATGACTTCTCACTTGTTCTCCTTTATATTTTGATTGCAGTCTGCAGCCGCCCTTGCTGTTGGTGTCGGTAGTTTCTGTGACCCTGATGATTTACCTGGATTAGCTCATTTTTTGGAGCATAGTATGTAGAATCTAAAGCCTATCTTCCTAACCGTAAGCAAAGAGGCAGAAGGAAAGCTGTCCCATCTCTTAATATGGAGTGTGCAGCTTTCAATACCAAATTATGTTGACATCCTCAATGCTTTTTAAATATTTTCTTCCACAGGCTTAAGCTCTCTTAGTTTTCTTTTAAAATCAATAAAATGGTGTTTTAAACATGTAAGAGGAAACAATAAGAAATAAACAAAGCAGATCAATCCATACTTTTCTGAAAGCAAAGCACTTCCTTTGAATTCCCCAAATCCCAACCTAGCTAAAGACTTAAGTAGTGGTGGTAGATGAATATGGGACACTGTCCTCTTTTAAGTGTACCCCAGTGGTCATGAATAACACAACACTGCGGGAAATTGATATTGTTGGAAATTGAGAATCACATTTTCAGATATACAGTAGCCAGTGCCATCAAGCCAGCCAGTGCCATGGAGCACAGGTGGGCCGGAGGTCCAAAACAAGGGTCTACAGAATATCAGTTGTTCAGAGATGGTTAACCCCATTTCCGTGCTGGATTGCAGCCACATAGGTGTCGCTCACCTATCAGGTAGAGCCTTTTTTGTAACAACCCCAGTGTTCTGGAACCACCTCCTATTTTTAATCTGGCACATCTAAGTGCTGCAGCCCTAATGAACCATTTCTAAAGCTTTTCTTTTTTTTCTTTTTTTTTCTTTTTTTATTTAAAGGCCCAAGAACACTTTGAGCTATAGATCCATAACCACAAAAAATATCAGTGACTATGAGTAAAAATAGTTTCCATGAGTGGAAAAGCCTATGCCAGCACGTTCCTTGTATGTATCTAAGAATACACATTTCACTAGATTGAAATCCATACCTGCATCTGATTGCAGCCAATTATCTGACTGCTTTCTTCCAGTGGTATTTATGGGTAGCCAGAAATATCCAGATGAGAATGGGTTTGATACATTCTTAAAGAAGCATGGAGGCTCAGACAATGCTTCGACTGACACAGAACGAACTATTTTCCAGTTTGATATCCAAAAGAAATATTTTAAAGAAGCCCTTGACAGGTAACTTAGGAGTACAAACAAACTAAGTGACTAAGAGATCCATTAGCACAATGACTGGTTAACTATAGCAGTTTGAGGAGTACAGTCGCTCTATATCTTGTACGTGCTAGATTATCTATATTCATAAATATCATTTGTAGCAGATCCTCAGGCAGCTATTAATTTGTGTGCTTCAGGTCTGGGCCACCAGAGGTTTTGTAGCTGTTGTTGAGTTCAGTTCACATTATTCTTCACTTCTGGCCCTACAAACTTTAGTTGCTAGAAGAATATTTTGCAAAATTTGAAAAGCCATAGGTTCCCCACTGCTTCTGTAATTGAAGAAAATCTCAGAGGAAGATGGAAAGAACAGAAATCAAAGGTCTATGTGAATTGGCTTATTAGGGCTCCATTTATTATGCCCTATCGCAATAAGTTAATTGTCCACTGCACACAACTCTAATTCATTGAAAGTATGATGGATATCAGAAAGAACATTTTGATTTCTAAATTTTGAAGTGACAAAATCATAATATGCATTAGGCGTGTGCAAAGCACTTAGTATTCTGAGTTCAAGACACTACCTTTTGAGCTTGAAAGAATAGTTACAAGCCCAAAGCAGGTTGTTCTAACCTTAGCAAAGTGTTCAAACTACTCTAGAACTGTTTCAGACTCAAAACGTGGAGCTTGGAATATTTCTACAATGCTCCAAATACTCTTATAAACCTTCCAGTAGGAGTACAGCATCAGTTTTAGCTCAAAATTGGCTAGTTAGAGCTTGAAATGTTTCATATTCGAAATGTTTTGCATACATTTAAAGTACACATGACTTGCATGCTCCTTTTAACATGGTGGCAAGTCTAGCTTAGTCTTAGTCTAGCTTCTTGCTTTTGCTAGTCTTTATGTTATCCTTACATCATCATCTGTCCTCCAATTCCCTTTATTTTTATGAAGCACAGAGGATATTACTGGTTTTTTTGTGGGGGAGGGGTATACATTTTCTAACAATCTGCAACCTTCTGAAAAATCTGAAAAAGGCCTTGAAATATCTTGATTATAGGGACTTTGATAATATTTAACTGAAATCTGGAAAGCCATGGAAGATCCAAGCTGCCAGAGAGATAATTGTACAATAAAAGACAGGATATTCATGTGTGTGTACGAATGATTGATATATATATATATTCACTCCAAGTAACTAAAGTAAAAGAAACCTATACATTGCCTAGGAGGAATAAAAAAAGTGATCAAAGAAATGAAAAGCCATTTTTCATCAAAATGAATGCTTGGAAAAAATCAAGATTTGTTTTGCCATAACATTACTTCACACGTATATTTATGGAAACAGAGCATTATTCCACATATTTCAAGACTTAATAGCAAACACCTCTATTTCTCTTCTAATTTACTTGTAGGTGGGCACAGTTCTTCATTCATCCTCTGATGATTAAAGATGCTATTGACCGTGAAGTTGAAGCTGTGGATAGTGGTAAAACTAATGAGCGTGTTTTTCACCGCTTATACTTTTTCAGTTCTTGGGTGGGGGAATCCTATCTTACCTCATTTTTGAGGCATTCATATTTGTGAAATTTGGATGACCTGTCTCACAACAACTGTATAAAAATAATATTTTAAATCCAAAGATTTAAGCACATTTAAAAGCCTTTTAAAATCAGCTGCATTATATGTGCTTTACATTGGATTATAGACAATACCTTCTGGGAGTTCCATTCCCAGAACTTTCTAACCTGGGCAAATAACTATGATCCTGAACATATCTTGCAGGAACCTTGTTGAATTCAGTGGAAATTAATGCTGGGTAAATGAGCATAATGACACTCAGTTTAGTGTAGTGGTTAAGACATCAGGATAGAAGCCGGGAGACTGTGAGTTCTAGTCCCGCCTGAGGCACGAAGCTAGCTGGGTGACTTTGGGCCAGTCACTCTCTCTCAGCCCTAGAAGGCAGGCAATGGCAAACCTCTTCTGAAATCTCGCCAAGAAAACTGAAGGCACTTTCCAGACAGTCGCCAGGAGTCAACACTGACTTGAAGGTACCAAAAAAAAAAAAAAAAAAGTACATAGCACCATTGTAAAATGTAGAGACGTTCACTGTCTGAAGTGAATTCTGTGTATTCTGAGGGTGGCACAAGCCTGGTTGTACAACTACTACATTTCACAAATTCCTCAAATTCCTTTATCTCAGTTTCAGAACTAAGGCCAATTTCTTTTTTAACTGTTCTGGGAAATTATTGTTTTTAAATCTTCTGCTTTCACCTGTAAAACAGAAATGAAAGCAACCTCTATTTTATGTAAAGGATATCATATCATTTATCAATCCGAAATAAACTTCCTGGAAGAAGAAATAAACTTCCTGGAAGAAGAAATAAACTTCCTGGAAGATAAGTCCTTTTCGATAAATGAAGATATGTAGATATGTGCACGCATGGCTAGGAAGGAAGGTAGCAAAGAAAGGAAGATGTGAACCAGCATAAACTCTGGTGGCCTCAGCATCCTCATGATGAACTGACCTCTTTGTAACTCAACATCGCTTGCAGCTCTGGATGATCACTGAAGATTCCTTGGCCTATGGAGTCTTAAATTTGGGCCTTGAAGTCCAGTTTTTGATATACCATTGTATTAACCCCAAGTCTATAGTACTGGAAAGAGTTAAGGCATAGAAATAAATGTTGATAATGAGATATCCCAGTGGAAGCTTATTGCATGTACCCTCCAGATCTTACCTGATGTTGCCTTCAGAAGAACCAGTGTAATCAAGGACTTCCCTCTCTTCCCACCAATATGTATGATGTGACGATATGCTAATTTGTGCCTTGAAAGAGAAAGAGGCCCTAACATCCATTTATCCCATTTTAATTGAGATGCTGGCTCTATTATGGTTGATAAATAGACAGAGCAGCTAGGAATATTCATTCTCCAAAGTACTAGTAATCTCTAATGGAGTCCTTGATATTTCTGCAGCAAAACCACAATTCCAATGCATGTGTCAAATGAATAAGATACTGTTCATTGCTGCTTCATGTATGTGTATATTATGCTCTTTGCCTTGTCCAAATGATCATATCACAGAAATTCTGTTCTGAAGTTCTGCTGCCTAATGTGTACTTTAAAATAAACAGAATATCAGATAGCAAGACCCTCTGATGCTAACAGAAGAGAACTGCTGCTTGGAGGTCTTGCAAAACCAGGACATCCTATGAGAAAATTCTTTTGGGGTAAGTAGAGTATGCTGAGATACAAGCAGATAGGCTTTAATGGAGCTTGTATTAGACAGAAGCTTGATATAATACCAAGTATTTCCTTTAATTTTAAAAGTTGTGGATATACAGTACCATTCTTCAAACGTTGTTCATGACAGAAGCTTTGTATGCTGCAATGATCTTGTGTTCTTCAAGATATGGTTAAGTCTGATGCTGCATATGATTGTCTTGCAGAAACATTTATCCCTCATTTTGAACATACAACATAGTTTTATTAGCATGCAAACAATATAGTGTACAGTGGGCTCTCAGCAAAACATTGGCAGCTTATTGGGCAGCCCTGAGCAAAGGCAAAACCATAGCTTATATACTTAGCCTACTATATTGCAAAGACAAGACCAAGAAAAAGGCAGATACAATGGAAATTACAACTTGACATTGGAATGTTTCTGATAAACCCATCTGGGTAACCTTTTTATTATTTATCTTTTCCTACTAGGTCAGCATACTAGCCATATTATCTCTGAGCTATGGTTAGTGAAGAGAAATAAATTGGTTTACTGGGCCACAGGTTCCTGACTGATTCTTCCCCTTGTCGCTACACAGGGTCATTTCAGCTTGCTGTTAATGTTTTCTCAAGGGCACTTTAAGCAGTTCCCATGTATTGGGGGGGTGGGGGGAGTGAATCTCATAAGTTTGGTAGTGAATGCAGCTCACATGGGCATGGGGGGGTACCTTTTACCACCACAAAACCTGTCCTATTTGGATTGGACTAGTTTAGCCATCAAAGTTCTTTTGTTATGCAGTATAATATAATAGAAGTATAGAAGATAACACCTGTGTTAAAAACTAATATTTAGTTGGTATTATTGGGCTGATTTAAGTTAAGCAATATCTACTTTGTCAGAGAGAAAACATTTAGAACTAAACTGCAAGACTGTGGGGAAACTGATTCTAATGTTAGTAAGAAAACCTCTTCTTCATAAATTATACAGGTAATGCAGAGACACTGAAATATGCACCAAAAAAGAAAGGCATTGATACCTATGCAAGACTGAGGGATTTCAGAAAACGATATTATTCAGCTCACTACATGAATCTAGTTGTCCAATCTAGAGGTAGAAAATACAAATAATTATGATAAATATATGTATGGGTTATATGAAAGTGTATTCACTTTTCTTAAGAATTGTGTAACTGTTGAATGTGCTAGATTTTCACAAGCAGCTCTGCCATTGTAATAACACAGTGGGGATAGTAGAAACTCTGTTGGCTTGCTGGTACAATTTCACAACTTACACCATTGTGTTAGTGGTATATGAAAGCCCAGATCTGAAGCCACCAATATAAGAACATATGGGCCCTGACATATGCAATTGTGCCTGAGGCTCATCCAAATTAAAATAATAATCAAGAGATCAGAATGACCTCAGAAGATCATCAAGCCCCTTAAAACCTTGGATAAGAAAGCCAAAACCTTGAGAAGAAAGTTTGCTTGTTTTTTCATAAGATCCTACAACATGTTGCCATTCTTTCACTTGATCTCATGGAAAGCTATGGCAAAATCATGCCAATCTTGCCAGATTTCAGACATATGGATCCAGGAACTGGGCTATTATAAGATTGCATAGCCACTTAGGAATAGGCAAAGTAATCTCAATGTTCCTAAATTCACCATTGTTTTTAGATATATCCTTGGCACCATTCCCAGAGGTATACCCAAGTTACTCATGCAGGAAAAACAACAGTCTTCTTATATCACGTAAACTTTTGTGGATTGCAATCAATTTCATGAGTTAACAATCCACAAAAGTTTAAGTGATAACGTATTTGCTCATTTTTAAGGTGTTACAAGATGTACCCCTGAGAGTACTAGGTCCTATTCATTCTTAAATGGGATCATGAAGTGGGAACAGTATGTGGATTAGACAAATTCTAAAACTAAATTAATTAAAGATAGGCATATGGTAGGTTAGTTCTAGTCCCTAGCCTACGTTTCTTTGGGCTAAATTAATTCCTCCCAGTCACCTAATTATACATGTATCATGTGAACTATTTACCTAATAGTTAACTGTCCCTCCAATTGTTCATGAGTGATACTAAACTATGGAAAGGCCCTACACTAAGAGGACCTCCCTAGGCTTTCTACCACCAAAGTTGTTTTAGTTTTTACCCCCATGTGACCCAGGGGGCAAAAAAGGGCAAAAAACGGTGAAAAGTGAATAATGTCCTTCAAATCATGTGCTTGCTCTGGAGAAAAAAAAAAAGGCAGGAAGTGATGGGGGAAGTGATAGCCTTCCATTCTTCTTTGTGGCAGCTGGGGGAATGAAAAATACAGCCCCTGGTTAACCAAGCTGAAGCACATTTAATGTGCTTCAGCTTGGTTAACTAGGGGTAGAAGGTGGCTGATTCTGTGCAAATGCATCCTTAATATGCCAAACTTAATATAGCCAAAATGAGGCTATAGGGGTGAGGATGACTTTTAAGAGACTTGATGAGGGGGTGTAGGACATCTCAACTGGCATGGACAACCAGGTTACT